AATTTAGATGAGAATAAGGAAACAATGATGGACATTTCCATGTACAGAACTCTTGTTTTTGGACTATGCCTACTGTAGGTATACCCATATTTTCTTTGTAGGACACCTTTAACAAATAAACATTATTTACATTATTTAATGTATGTTATGAATAATCTTATGTATGGCTATTATAATGTCATTTCATGGCTGTTATATCAAATGAAAACAAAAACAGTGGTAGTTGTCTTGTTTTAAGTTGTATTTTCTATTTATTATGGAGGTCAAAAGTCCTACCAAGCATGCAAGTCTGAATGTGGCGTATTTAGTTTTGAGGAAAGCCTTATGATTATTCGATTAAAAACAAAAACAATTTAAAGCACGTCACTGAATGATTTTCAAATGATTTTCAAAGCAACATACTTTGAGGTAAGTTCCTAGTTTTTGTGAAAAAATATTTTTTAAAATTGGATGTCAATTACTTTTAAAACTAGTATTTTTGCTCTGCAACTCTCTTATCATGTGCCCACTTTTAAAAATTTTACATGACAACCTAATTTCACGTTTCATTCAGTCAAACACAAGACTGCAGAAAGAAAATGTTTTTTAAACGACATTTCACTTTCGTTTGAGACTCTCCACGCTTGCAGCCTTGTCCTTTCTTCACTTATACGTTATGGCCACAGCAGTCATTTGTCCTCGCCTTTGTCATCAGCAATGTGTTCCTTTAATCTCTTATTTTATGTTATCTCTAAATCTTATGCTAGCCTGCTTCTGTGGAGCTCAAGTTATGTAACGCTCCCTAGGTATTTTCATGGGCTGATGCCTGTACTGTAAATGTATGATCCAGCCAAAGCACAAGATTCATCCAGTGCCACTTTTTTTTTTAGGATCAGACAGCCTTCTCTTACAACATATGCCAAAACACTGCATTCAAGCCGTGTTGATGTGTCACACTTCTATTTTCAAACCTTCCCAGGAGATTGTGCAGTGAAGAAATGATGAGCGGCACAGTATCAGGAAGCAAAATATCTTAACGCCTTGATTACAAAGATGGATATACTGTACAGTACATATTCTACTCACACAACCATGGAAGCTTGATTATGTTAAAGTGTCTCTGCAGTGTAGTATGTTGTATTAAATGTTCCTAATTTTGTGTCCTGTATTAGGTTTACATCAACATGAGGTACTAAAATATATTAAATATACACATCTTTTATCACAATATCTGAAGTGGTTCATTGAAGGATCCAGTCTTTCTAATCTCCTCTTTTCAAAGAACTTAAGTCTACTCTGATTGGTCAAATGGTTGAATATTGTGATTGGTCTACCATTGTTGGAAACAAAAACATGATGATATCTAAATTTTAGCTCGAGAGGCCTCCTTAGTGTTTGCATACATAGCAATGGGAATAGTAATGATGGTGTTTGTTTTACCATGTCACTTTGACCCAACTCCTCTTTCTTTGGAAGTACAGACAAAATGGATTTGTTTTCGCCATGCAAAAAAAAAAAAAATCATTTTTTACATGTCGACATCAAGATCTAAACAGCTACATTATTTGAGGGTGGGTCAAAATAGACATTGTTAGCACTCATCCATGAATGTGTATCTAAACACAAGCATTTTCATAGACAAATTGTGTATTACACGCTATGTGAAAGTTAATGTTTGGAAAAGCTTAAGTGGGCCACTTAAGTGGACAAAATTTGAAGGATTGGTAGCTGACATCCAAATGGAGTTAAATATATAGTTCTCTGTTTATTATGATTATGATTATTATTATTATTATTATTATTATTATTATTATTATTATTATTATTATTATTATTATTATTATTAAATCTGACTCTCCCATCATCAATATAAGTTCTTGGTGAAGAAACTAACTCTGCACAGGAAAGCATGTTGTCACAATGCAGATGCATATTTGAAACAATGCCATTGCTCATGTGTGCTGTAATCAAAGCTTTAGATAGTCCAGCTGTATATTAGTGTGTGTGCCTTTTTATGAACAGGAAGTTTATTTAATGTTATTTTATAGAAATAATCTACTTTTCTGGCTATGATGTTTAGGATTGTTCAAATGAAAACAAAAACAGTGGGGGTGGAGTAGTTTTACATTGTATTTTCTATTTATTGTTGGAAGTCCAAAGTCCAACCAGGTATGCAAATCTGAATGTGGTGTATTTAGTTTTGAGTTTTTTTTTTTTGTTTTTTGTTTTTTTAATTTGGGCAGATCCAGTTACTATGACCATTTATGTCAAGCTGCTTTGACACAATCTACATTGTAAAAGCGCTATACAAATAAAGCTGAATTGAATTGAATTGAAAATTGAATTAAATAGAGTGATTTATACCTGACATCCAAATGGAATTTAATATATGAAAATATATGTTATTATTAATATTTAAATAATATTTAAATTATCTATAGTTAGTTAGTTAGTTAGTTAGTTAGTTAGTTAGTTAGTTAGTTAGCAAAAAACTGTACAATTTATGTAAGCTTATGCATTCATATATATAGGCCCTATTGTAATATGCGATCAAGTAAATGACATGTCAAAGTACACCTCAAATAGTGTTTGCGTCAATTACAGCATTATGCTAGTAGGTGGCGACTGAGTGACTGAAATGTATTTGTCATTGAATCATTCATTCATTCAGCATCAGGGCCACAGGTGACACTGAAATATTTTGATTTGAGGCTTGGGTTAAAAAATAAAATAATTTAGTAAACATTATTATTTAAATGATTTTGAGGGATTGGTAACTAACATCCACATGGAATTATTTATAGAATTATATTAGAATACAAATGTATATCTATTATATGTTATAGAATAGTGTTATTATTTTAATAATATATAGCTGTGTACAATTTTAGGAAGCTCATGCCTTTATATGCATAGGCCCTATTGTAATATGTGATTGTGTGTGTCCTGTGAAATTTATCTGATACAAACATTCACATACTTAGATAAAATGTACAATTTGGATATAAACACTGCTATCTATGGTTGTGTTTAAAATCAAGTAAATTACCTATTAAAAGTAAGCTGACACCTCATAAAGCATTTGTAATAGTTACGTTATAATGCCAGTAGGTGGCGACTAAGAATCTTTAATGTATTTGTCATTCATTCATTCATTCAGTCATTCAGAACCTAGGGACACTGGTGGCACTGAAACATTTTGATTTGAGGCTTGAGTTGAAAAAAGAAAACTCCTTTAGTGAACATTATTTAATTGGTGTGATTTGTACCTGACATCCAAATAGAATTTAATATATGTAAATATCTGTTATTATTATTATTTAAATAATCTATAGTTATTTAGTTAATTAGTTAGTTAATTAGTTAGTTAATTAGTTAGTTAGCAAAAACTATGTATAATTTAAATCACCTATTGAAAGTAACCTGACCCCTTAAATAGTGTTTGTATCAATTACAGGATTTTGCCAGTAGGTGGTGACTGAGTGACTGAAATGTCAGTGAATTATTCATTCATTCATTCATTTAGCACCAGGGCCACTAGTGACACTGACACATTTTAATTTGAGGCTTTGGTCAAAAAAATATATCCTTTAGTGAACATTATTTTTTAATTCGAGTGATTTGTACTTGACATGCAAATGAAAATGAATCGTCCTTGACTAAAGGAAAAACTTTATTCATTATGAAGGCCAAGGAAGAGTCATGTTTTTTTTTAAACTACAAACTGATTTCTTTTAATTGTCAGTGAATATTTTTTCTCTATTACACCTTGTCTTTGAACTATAAATGCAGTGACATTTTTCATTCCTCATGCTTATTTTTAGAAGCCTCATTTTTTTAAATGCTGCAAATTACTTTTGATATGCAAAGCAAGAAAAACTCTCACTTCCATGTGCAATGTGTAGAAGCTCTTGCCTTCATATTTGTTAAATGATGCGATGCATCTACAGTGCATGACATAACTTTGGAGCCCGAAGTCAAACATCAGTCTAAAAGCGCGCACACACACACACACACACACACACACACACACACACACACACACACACACACTTATTTCTGTTCTCAACACAATAGTGGGGAATTCTTTTTCAGCCTTCAGATAACATGAAACACATTACAGTGAAGGCCTGGAGAACTTCATACCTTCAGCTGTAGGGTTATAGAAGAGAATGTCAAAAATTCAATCTGGAAAAAATAGTCTGAACACAGACCTCAATAACTTGCAGGTGATTTTCGAAGAACGAGTTGCCTAGAATATAAATGTCCCCCACTCAAATTCAGACATAGCAAGTAATTTAACGCTAGCTAGAAAGACATAAGTGGATCACCTGCTTGAAGGGAGTTATTTTCAGATTTTTTCATACCATATTTAACTTAGTATTCCACACAGGCCTGCTTTATTTGTGTGTATATTAAGTACGGTGTTATTTCGTTCATAGCCTTTTTTCTGTATGTCATTTTATATTTGAACGCATGCCATTCTACTAGCTGACTCTGTTTACCCCTGCGATAGAAATGAAATACAATGAAGATTTATGTATGATAAACATTTCTTTTCTTTTCTACCTCCCCATTGAGAAAGGTTGTTGCTTCTCGGCGGTTTAAAAAATAAAAATTCAGCCTGTAGTTAAAGCTCACTGGAGAGATTTACACCGCATTTGTGGACATGAAAGGACCCTCATTTTACATGCACATATTCAGAGAAACCTTCCTCAGCTCCCCAGCCTTTGAACAGCCATTAAACAATTTATCACCGAGCAGTTCATTTCATTTCGCTAACCCTTGGGACGAATAGTATTTCTCAGCATTGCACCCATAAGATTTACACGTGTTGACCACTCCGAATCTTATTGCTAATTCACTCCTGCCCCTTTCACACAACTTGTAAATGAAAACTTTTGCCTTTTAGAAGGCTTTTCCTATCGGGCATCGATTGGGGTTGGTTTATTTTGAGTTTGGCTTATTATGAGTGTTCACTCTTGCCCTTAATCACATTGGTTTTTATTTTCTTTCTGTAGTTCCTCCAGCAATCCATGAGATGAAAAGTCACGGGGTCCGACCCGGTCAGGTTGCCCTGCTGAGATGTGAAGCAGCAGCTGTCCCTTCTCCAGTTTTCGAGTGGTACAAGGGAGAAAAAAGGTAAAAAAAAAACAAAAAAACAAGCATGATAAATGATAAAAGCTTTCATTTCATTAGCTTAGCAGTACAGCAACCATTAGTCATACATTATGCATGTTAAGTAAGTTTATTTATGAAGCAGAATGCACTATTGAGAAGCTTGATGTGGGGTTTGCTTTTTTGTTAAACCAAAAATCAAATTTTACGATCAATATTCATTTGCGCTTGCTACATTTGTATGATCAAACTGTACAGCAGTTTTCGAGAGTTTTCCTTCAGATTTAATCACCAAAAGCTGCATTACAGTCTTCAGCGGTATTAGTCTAATAGCTATGGATCTGCGGCTTATCAAATATTACAAAGTGTCTTATTAAAGAGTCTTCATTTCGGGAAGATAGTGACTCTTGGCACACAGCGTAAGCTTGTGGAAATCACTTTTTTTTTTTACAACTTAACAGTCATTTTTAACTTTTAATTAAAGTCATACACTTCTGGCGAAAATAATCTTTTTCCAAAGAGGTCTGAAGCAAATTGTGCCATTTGAGTCATTTAGGCAATTATATCCTAATTGATCATTCAGTGTTATATATTATTTTAAGAGCTGCTTCGAACTTATTAACAATTCATTAGTCTGTAGTGTTTTTTTTTTTGGATCCCCCATATATTTTTAAGGCTTGGATGTGTAAAAACGGCCCATTTTTAACTTTGCAGATGGTTTCTGTCAGCTGTGGATAAGTATTAACATATAATGTACCTTTCCTTTACTCTTTGCATTATAAAGGTAGATACAGGTTGGCCACAGATGGCTGAGTAGATGTAAGTGAGATAAGTTCAGTTGCCATTTAATATGCATGAATGCAATGAAGGATGCCAGTTGCAATTAAATTTGCAAATATTTAATGCTGTCAGCGCAATAAAAAACACTGGCACACTACTTACAGTTAACATTTATTGACTTTTATTTCTTTTTGGCATTTTATTATTATTTTGCAGTGCTCTGGCATACATTTCTATTGCATATGTGTAAATGTGTTTTCAAATTTCACTACCTTTTATTAATGCCTGTCACAATGCCTGAGATTATAGTGTTTAATAATAATAATAATAATAATAATAATATGTGCTACATTTTGTTTCGTTTAATATTAAACACTAAAATACAGTTTACCAGTTTACAAATTTATTTGATCATTTTTAATCAAGACTTTTATGGGACATAATGATATTAATTTATATAAATTTAATGTACAGCCCCAAATCAGAAAAAACTGAGACAGGATGGAAAAGACCAATAAAAAAGTAAGTAGTGATTTACAAATTTACTTGGACTTGTATTTTATAGCAGACCCTATGAACACAAAATATTTCATATTTGTCTGTTCAACATAATTTCATTTGTAAATATACATCCTTTCCTGTCATTAAGACTTTCAACATATTCCAAAAAAAAGTTGAGACAGGAGCAATATAGGGCTAGTAATTGGTTAAATAATGATGTGATTTGAAACAGGTGATGTCAACAGGAGATTGTAATTATGATTCGCTATAAAAACAGCATCCAATAAAGCTCTAGTTCTTTAGGAGCAATAATGGGCTGAGGATCGCCAGTTTGCCAACAAATACATTAAAAAAATATTGAAATGTTTAAAAACAGTGTTCCTCAAAAAAAGATAAGAAGACATTAAGATATTTCACCTTCAACAGTGCATAACTGTAACAATTAATAAATTCAAGGAATCTGGAGATATTTCAGTGCATAGAGGACAAAAGCGCAAGCTTAAGCTGAACAACCGTTATCTCCAATCCCTCAGTCAGCACTGCATCAAGAATCATTATTCAACTATAAGCAATATCACCACATGGGCTCAGAACTACTTTAGCAAACCTGTATCAAGCACCACAACATGTTGTTACATCCACAAATGCTCGTTAAAACTGTACTCTGCCAAAAGGAAGCCCTATGTTAACTGTGTCCAGAAGCGCCATGACTTTGCTGAGCTCGGATGCATCTGGGTTTGACCATCACACAGTGGAAATGTGTACTGTGGTCAGATGAATCAGTTTTAAGGTATTTTAGGGAGAAATGGACACTGTGTTCTGGTTGTGGAAAAAGAGGATACAGGTACTTCACTGGCCTGTCTGCAGTCCCGACCTGTCTCCAATAGAAGTCGTGTGGCACATTTTAAAGCGCAAAATGCCACAACAAAGACCTGTATTGTTGCCCGCAATAAGACTTATTTGCCGGAAGAATGGGACAAAATTACATCTGAAACACTTCATTGATTGGTGTCTTCAGTCCATAAACATGTTTTAAGTGTTGTACAAAGGAATGCAATGCAAAATGTTTTTAATGTTTTTACAGTATCACCTTTTTCTGATTTGAGGATGTAATAACATATATGAATGTGTACAGTTGAAGTATACTGTTGAATTTTTTTTTTTTGATTTCCCAAATGATGTTTAACAGAGCAAGGAAATTTTCAAATTATGTCTGATACTATTTTTTCTTCTGGAGAAAGTCTTTTTGTTTTATTTCACTAGAATAAAAGCAGCTTTTAATTTAATTGACTACCTTTTCATTATGTTTGTGGCTGTTTTTGCCCCGGTGACTTGCAACGACATGGCACCATATAATCATGCATTTTTGATTGTTGGTTTTCCCTGTTGGGAAGAGTTAGCTTTTTTAATTTTTACTATTGATCAACAGTTGCAGTGCAAAAAAGCTTAGTGTTTATTCCCACACACTATAATCTGCTGCTTTACTCTAAAGAAAGTCATATAAAATCCAGAAACTTTTTTTTTGCCTAGACCTATCTAAAGGGTTAATGCTGCCAACTGATAGTCAACACCAAAAATTACACATTTTACCTCTTCCCAACAGGGAAAACCACCAACAATCAAGAAATCATGATTCTATGCTGTAATGGCTTTGCTTTTAAAAAATGGCACTATAATTGAAGTCAAAAACAGCCACAGACACATGGGTTAATTTAAATTTGCTGTTTTTTGATGAAATGGTTTACATACAGTTTAACGGCCGGTAATAAATATTTATGGCCAGTATATTTTCTCATGTCAGCTGCCATTTTTAGTCTTTGCTCTGGGTGTATGTATTATTTTTAGATTCGTCCACTTACAGCTCTTTCACTGTGTGCCTGTGAGTAATTTTCATAAGTACATTACATAATTCATAAAGCACATTTTTTCGTAAACTTAATATGATTAGCACACTTAAGGCTGAAATCACACACGTTTTGTGTGGAGTCTATGAAATGCAGAAAACTGTGCTGAAAAAAAAAAAAAGAAAAATTTTTGAGGACTGAATTGTAATAATCAAGAGCATGTTTTTCTGTGTTTAAAAACAACCAGATTAATCAAATGTCATAAAGGAGTAAAGAACTCTTGAGTTATCTCACACTAGTTATCTAATATTTCTTCTCTTCATACAAATCTGCTCCTGAACATACATATTTTTTTTAAAAAGTAAAAAGAGATACCTATTGAGAACCTATACAGTATATAAAGGTAATCCATGCTACTATCTTAAATCTGCATTTTAAATACATATTTGTATAACCTCATCACTAGTAAAAAGGCATTCTAAGTCTTTGCGCCAATCAGTGTTGACTCAAGTGGTGGTTCTTGAATTTAAATACCAAATTACCCCATTACCCGTCATTTACCCACTCTTGCTGAGTACGATCTGAATCAGCAGTTCACACTGTGCTAATTGTAATTATAGGCTTCAGTCAATTTATTCAAATTGCAAAGGAGGCTTATTGGCATTGGGTCTGTACTCTGCTTAATCTAAGGCTTTACATTGAGCATTGTTGCTAAATTGTCTGTTTTACTGTATTTGTCTGAAAGCACAGGCTTGAAGCTGAAGCAAAAACAGTGAGGTTCATGAAACAAAACATGAAAGAGAAATGCTGAACAATTCAACAAGAACCATGCAGAGAAATCATGAAAGAATTATGAAAAATAATCAAATTTTTAAATTTAATTTGTTCAAAGATCATTTGTTTTGTGTCTGCTTAAAAGTAAATTTACAAAATGTATATGTATCATTATTATTAAATATATTACATATTGTTATATAGTGAATACTCTCACTGCCCACTTTATTAGGTACACTGCTTGTAAATGCAAATTTCTGATCAGCCAATCACATGGCAGCAACTTAATACATTTAGGCATGTAGACATGATCAAGACGATTTGCTGCAGTTCAAAGCGAGCATCAGAATGGGGATGAAATGGGATTTAAGTGACTATGAATGTGGCATGGTTGTTGGTTCCAGACGGGCTGGTCTGAGTATTTCAGAAATTGCAGATCTACTGGTATTTTCATGCACAACCATCTCTATGCTTTGCAAAGAATGGTCTTGGCATACTTTAAGTTTATTAGTACCAATTGAGCATTGTGTCAACACCACAGCCTACCTGAGTATTGTTGCTGACCATGTCCATTCCTTTATGACCACATTGTACCCATCTGCTGATGGCTACTTCCAACAGGATATCGCACCATGTCATAAAGTGTGAATCATCTCAGTCTGATTTCTTAAACATGATAATGAATTCACTTTACTCAAATGGCCTCTACAGTCACCAGATCTCAATCCAAAAGAGTACCTTTGGGATGTGGTTGAATGGGCTGCACATCATGGATGTGCCGACAAATCTGCAGCAACTGTGTGATGCCGTCATGTTAATATGGACCAAAATCTCTGAGGAATATTTCCAGTACCTTGTTGAATCTATGGATGAATTATGTAGGCAGTTCTAAAGGCAAAAGGAGGTCCAACCTGGTACTAGTAAGGTGTACCTCATAAAGTGGCCGGTGAGTGAATAATAAGCATGTTATATAAAATTAAATGGCTTCTTTAATGATTCATATAAATGTTGTAAAATACAATGTCAAAGTATGGTTGAAATAATGTTTTCCAAGTTTTAAATGTATTTTTTACATTTTTAATGTTAAAATAAAACAACATACTTGTTCCGACCTATTAAAATATT